CCTTTTTTTGAATATACATGAAAATGCACATTTCGAACTTAAATGGTTGTAATTCAAGAATGCTTTGGAATATAGACGTAAGATTGGTCTTGTTTTAAAGAAGACATTTGGCAGATTCTTGTAGAAGTGAAATAAATTAAGAAAGTGAAACAGAAAAAAAGTTATAGAAGTTTGTGTTTATGAAAATGTACAATGTAAAATTGTTAATTATTCATATTTTATATAAAATATATATTTTCAAAACCTGGGCGACTCTAAAACTGCAAAAAAATCAAAGCCAAAAATCTGAACAAGTTGTGTTTCAAATTGTAGGTTGATATCTCAAAAAATGAGCTTTCAGTAAGATTTTGTTTGGGCGCAGTACCAAACTTTTTCACTAGATGACAACCAGACTCCATCACTGCCCATATAAGGGCGCCTCCATTTCCATATGTGTTTTGAGTGATATGAACCATTATTTCCACAATTTTCATACAATTTATGAAGTAGACATCCTATTCAGAAGTAATATGAGAAGTTTGGCAGATTTTGATATGATTTCAACCTCTAAGAAACATAAAAAGAAAACGCATGTGCGTTTTAGCTTCCTGCCACATCATATAATTTTTTTCTTTATATAAAAAAAAAATTCAGACCTTTTTTTTTTTTAATAATTGAATGGATGCTATCTTTTGAACTCTTGGAATGAAAACAAACTGAGGTTTCTACCCTTCTTTCATGATTTTTCATGTTCATCACTATTTCAAAATAAAGGTCTAAGAGTATGAAAATATTATTGTTGCAAATTGATAAATTACGGCTCCTCTGTAATTTATTTTGAAAATCAATCACCAAATATGGAAACTAGAGATTGTAAGCTTTCAAATGATATATAGTTTGTCAAGATTAGTTTAGGTTTAGTATAGGATATTACTGTTTTAAAAATGTAAAGAATTTGGGCCCACCGGTGGGCCCGTGACACTTAAGGGGTTAAAAGAGGAAACTGTTATTTTAAAGTGTAATAATATTTCACAATATATTTTTTTTTACTGTATAAAATAAATGTATATTTGAAATAAATATATAAAATAAATTAATATTTATCAAAAATATTAATATTTTATTGAATTTTTAAAATGCGTTTTTGCCAGGATACACCTGACTCCAAACAGAAGCAAAGTCAGTCTGTTAAATGGCCAACTTTTTAAAATAATTTGAAGGGCAAATAATAGGATTATTGTTTTGTAAGTCATTGGGGTATTGGATCCCAAACAAAAACAATAGTCAGTCTGAACAGGTAATAAGGGTTCTCTTCTTGATTCATGTTCACGTGGTTCTTCAGCTTTAGTGCTTGTGACTCTCCCCAGCAGCAGCTCTTGAGGCAGTAGTTATGTCTCTCAGAGGGAGACGTCTCATCGATGTGCACTCAAAGGGCAAACTCAGATTGTTTTCTTGGCTGTCCTTTTCCCTCCTGTCTGTGTTTTTGCTGCTCTCTATGGATGCGAGTGTTTGTTAATGTTCAGGGTTGTCCTCATTTAAACCCTGTATTTCTTCTCTGTGGGAGTGTGCGTTTTGTTTGTCCCTTGTCTCCTTCTTTCTGCATATCTCTGTTTCACCTAAGTGCGAACAGACAGACACCACCCAGCAAGGTTAAATGCATGCTGACCCTCTCCATCTTGTTTCACTGCAAACTTAACGTTATCTGAAGCATCTTGCTTATTTTCCTGTAAAGTGAGGTCGCTGGCCATCTCTCCTCCCGAACCCCCACCTCAATTGTAATGCCTGTTTGCAATTTACATTTCCATTTGTTTTAAATTGATTCAGCGATGCTGTCGATTTAAACACTTCCTGAGGCTGAAATCAGGAGATATCGAGCTAATTGCGTCTCTGTGTCACCTGTGATTACCTTTCCCTTATTGAGTGCTCTCTCACGACACCCTGCTTCAGCTGAAAGAGAAAAGAGAGACCTGTTGAAAGCGTGAAATGAATAAAAACAGGAGCCTTACACGTTTTTTTTTATCTGTTCACACTACTAAATATCTTTTTGCAAATCAATAAGATCATTTTGTTGCTGCTTTTAATAGGCTTTGTTTAGACTGTTTTAAAACGCATGTGTCTTAATTTATGAGATTTGATTAATTAGCAAATTTGTTTTGGGAGCAACGAACTGAATATGAATAATGCATCGAGTGAAACTGCAAACATGAGAACATTAGGGAGCAAGAACGGATTAATATTTTTGAGGAAATACTAGTTAGAAAGCTGGGGGTAACATAAATGTGTGTGCAGATTACAGAACTGAATAGAGAATCCCAGTTCAATTCAATTCCTTATATTCAATTAAATATGAATTGAAGCATCAAATTCATAAACATCTTATTGCAATTAAAATTTGAAATTATGGAATTAGGATTAAAAAAATAAATGTAAAGAAATCCATATAATAGAAAAGTTATTCACAGGACACACTTAGAATCTTGGTTTTATCTGGGGAAAAAAAAACAAAAAAGATTCAGATTTACATATTTGGGACCCTGGACCACAAAAGCAGTCACATGGGTCCATTTTTTTAAATTTAGATGTATTCATCTGAAAGCTGAATAAATAAGCTTTCCATTGATGTATGGTTTGTTTGGATATACAATATTTGGCTGAGAAAATCTGGAATCTGAGAATGCAAAAAATCTAAACATTGAGAAAATCGCCTTTAAAAGTTGTCCATTTATGTTTGCGATTGTGCTGCATTCACTCACAAAAATAAACGCTTTATATATTTACGGTAGGAAACTTACAAAATATCTTCATGGAACATGATCTTTACTTAATATCCTAATGATTTTTGGCATAAAAGAAAAAACGATAATTTTGACCCATACGATGTATTGTTGGCTATTGCCACAAATATACCCGTGAGACATGTGACTAGTTTTGTGAACCATGGTCACATTTGGTCTATGCTATATCAAGTTGGACCTTCTGCAGATCATACGCTTTGAAACTGTGTCTCCTAAAAAACCATTACATGTATAAAATTGTAAACCTAGTCAAACAAATCAAGATTGAGAACTTTATTTAAGGGATAGTTCTAAATTTAAATTCTGTCATAATTTAAACACTCATGTTGCTCTAAACCTGCATGATGTTCTTTCTTATACAAAACACAAAAGAAGATATTTTGTGAAAAATAATGTCTCTGTTCACACAATAAAAAATAGGTCACACCCCATGAAATAGATCTTTAGGCTCATTATCATTCACGACTACCAGTAAATCCAAACAGGAATATTCGTTCACCAGTATTCTGCTGTGAGTTTTGTACATGAAGGCTGGTGTGATGTATATCAGCGTATATCCTTTTAAGAGGTTGTGTAGGTTTAGGGAATAGAAAATGTCATAAATACAAGATGTAAATGGAAAGTCCCCGTCGTGTTCAGGTTTTACCTCCTCTACATCACACGAATGTATCTATTTGATCTTCTAATCTAGTCCATCTCAAGACGGGCCACACACTGATACATCACACCAGCCTTCATGTACACAACTCACGGCAGAACACTGGCGAACGAATATTCCTGTTTGGATTTACTGGTGGTAGTGAATGATAATGAGCCTAAAGATCTATTTTATGGGGTGTGACCTAATCCTTGTTGTGTGGATGAGTGAGAGGGAGCTCTATCTCTTGATATACAGACTGTGAATACAGACAATCTATCTCAACCAAACAGCCCAGCACAGCTTTACCCCACACTCTCAAATGCTGTTTGAGAGCCTGCAGGCAGCACGTTCCAGGGATATGCCTCATTATTCCTGTCTGACTCAGGTTTAAAGTCTCTTATTGCCGTGTTTTCTTATCAAAAAACCTTTTGAACCAACACAGCCGACCTTCTTCATAAGACAGAGTGATGGAGGGCAAAGTTTGCCAATTTCCTGGATGCCATTATTCATATATACCACTGCAGTCAGAGGTGCTTCACTTTCCACAAGTTGCATTATTGGGATATTTGACGAGATAAGGACCTTCACACCAAATAAATAAATAAAATAAATGATGCTGTGATAATGACAGCATGGCGAATGTAGTACGTCCACATTCACATTCATATGTTGAACATCCTTTTTTTAGCAGCCGTAAAGTAATTACTTATTCAAAATAAGTACTTACTCAAGAGAGTATGCGATTTCAGACGCAGCCAAAGACATTGTTCATCCTTTGCTGATGTTGGGAAGGAAGGCCATTATGAACAAATGGGTTGGAGATAGCCCTTTATTATATAGGGATTGGCTTGCTATGATAAAGTATCTTATATCTTTAGAAAAAAATTGGATTCTATTTTATGGGCAAACTCATGTCATTTAATAAAATCTGGAAAGAACCAATGGTTCTCTTGGGATAACTGAACATTCCAGCATGTATCCATAATGGCACAATTGTAGTATAAATGTATACCCCTGTTAATTTGGTTATATATAAAGTACATTATGTATATTGGATATTTGTGTTCCTTATTGTTTTCCTCCATTGTGTTATAATAAACATACTGCATATGTATCTCCTTTTTTATAATCATTATTATCACTATTATTACTTGGTTTGATTTTGTTTTAAGGCTTGTGTTCAACAGTTTTTTTTTTTTGTTTTTTTTTATGTGGACATTGTTAAAATATCAATAAAAAATACCTTTAGTGGCTCTTTTGCTGTAAAAGTTGCACCTTGTGTCAAAACACATCAGGTATATCCAGAATTTGAACGTTTGATCATGGTTTTCTTCTGCTGCATCATGTCCTGAAATGAGCCATGCAGCCTGAAGCCTGTTTTTCATCTTCATGATCATAAAACCCCTCAAACTCTGACATCAAAATGGAGGGAAGGAGAGAACTGAAAACTAACTTCTTTCAGACAAAAATACAAAACCACAAAACTTAAAGCTTCTTTTTAATCTTATATAATGAACATTTTTATTTAGGGAGTCTATGCTAATGTTCATATACTTCTGCACGGTCCTCAGGGGGCCCATATATGTGTTCCTAATGGAACAGCAACCATCATTTATTTGTCTTCTTTTTAAATAGTGTCTTTCATATTAATTTCACTCTGTTTCTGTTAAATAAGGCAGTTTATAGACAGTTATTGGTTACAGAGACAGTAGAACGTTGCTCTCTAGCGAAGGATTTGTAATCTTAGCATGCATTCAAACTACGAGGAAGCATCAACAATATGGCAAGATATTTTACAAGCTGTCTCATGAGAACAGTAATCTACATCGACCAGACACTGTATGCGCGTTTAGGAGCTCACAGAAAAACAAACGGCAGGGTGCAGAGGACCTCAACAGCATATGAACAATGAAAGCTCACAGGATTCAGATATTTTCCGCAGAAATCCTCTTAATTAAGTCATGAATGTGTCAAAACAGGACAGGAGTGTAACATCAATAGCATCTTTTAAACTTAATGAGTTTGTGGAAGGCTTGCTTGAAGTCATCATTGAAGACAGTGTAGATGACTGGATTGATGAGCGAGTTGAGGTACCCTAGCCAGGTGAACACATCAAAGAGCACAGGATCAAACCAGCAGTCTTTACAGACCCCCATCACCAGCGTAAACACGAAGAACGGGAGCCAGCACACTATAAACGCACCCAGGATAATCCCAAGAGTTTTGGTGGCCTTCTTCTCCCGAGCAGCACAAAGACGCTTTCTTTCCAGTACGCTGTCAGCCAACTTCACTTTCACACTGTTCGTGAAAAGTGGAGACCCCCCTCCCCCTCCCACTCCCCCTCCCCCACCTCCTCCTCCCCCTCCCCCTCCTCCAGGATGAAGATGTCCCTCCTGATTTGAGGTGGAATTCAGCGAGCAGAGTGAAGAGCCCGCTGAGTTCTGGATGAGCTGCGCAGCGGTGAACCGTTTTCCGCTGGTCGCTGGTGTTTTAAAGATCCTGGAGCGAGCCGCCACATAGATACGCCCGTAGAGAATCATCAAGAGGATCGTGGGCACGTAAAAGGCGCCAAATGTGGAATAAAGTGTGTAGGAGATCTGGTCAGTGTTGACCATGCACTCTGTGAGCTCCTCGTGTGCCTTAGCCTGCCGCCAGAATAGAGGAGGCAAGGAGATCGAGACGGAGATCACCCACACTACGCCGATCATCAGCGCCGCTCGTCTCATGGTGCGCCGTTTCGAGTATTCCAGGGCGTCGGTGATGGCCCAGTATCGATCCAACGCGATCACGCACAGGTGCAAGATGGAAGCCGTGCAGAACGTTATGTCAGATGATAGCCAGATATCACACACGATCTGACCCAGAGTCCAAGTCTTACTGACCGTGTACACAATGCTGATCGGCATGACTAAAATGGACACCAGGAGGTCAGTCACTGCGAGAGAGCCGATCAGGAAGTTGGCAGGGGTGTGAAGCTTGCGTGTGAGGAAAATGGTTGCGATCACAAAAGCGTTGGACAGAGCAGTGGCCAAAGTGACGATTGCTAGCATGGCAGAGATGGAGATCTGAAAGCCGAGGAGAGTAGCGTCGTCCCAGGACTCCAGGGTTGTGGGACTGACCGTAGCATTGATGAGGAAGAACTCATCTGAGCTGTTGAACAGATCCATGTTGCATGGTTCACCAGCGCTTCATATCATCTATGCATGATTCTTACCATAAATGATCAATTATTCCATGAAAACCTCTTGTGGTGAAAGAGTAATTTAGCATGCTGGTTTGAGATATTGGTAATGCTTTGCCTTTGTGAAGGTCATGGCTGATAAATGTGAGCAGTAATTCATGGTTGAAGATACTGTGACTGTTTCTAATGTTGTTTTATAGAATATGTTGACACACACAGAAAGTTAAATGCCACAGAACAAATAAGAAACCGGTATTACCCTTTGTGCTCAACTGAGTTATAAAAAATATTCCTTTAGCCCTTAAATCACTGCTCATTATTTTCTTTATTGTCCCTTATTCTACCATAAAAATGTGGAGATCCCACAATTTCGGCTCTTATGAACTGCTGGAAGACTTTTTAATTTATTCTTCTGTTGGTCTGCAAAAGCTCTGTTGTTTCAGACATACGGATCAGAATATTCCTTCATTCCCTGTATATCCAGTGATGGCTGCAAATGGTTTAGAGAGAGGTGATTTAGCAGTTTCCCAGAACACCAAAAGCTGTAAAAAGTTCTCGTTTTAAATATTGGCCACGTGAAGGTGCCAGTCCAGAAGAAAGGACTTAATCCAGGTGAAGATCTGGAATAGAGAAAAGGAAAAGAGAGAATTAAGAGTGAGAACTTTAGTAAACGGTTCATGATTTTAGTCTCTACACACGCAATAGTTGAACGTTTAAGATGCACCTTTGGAAATGTACTGAGAAGATTCATTTTAATAATGCAAATTAGGCTCTCATTACTTACATTAGCAGGTAAACCTCATACAGAATGATTTGGTAATGTTTTGTCTTGAACGCCAACATTTTCCTGGAAACGTGTTTCAAAAAGTGAATTTATTGTCTTAGAGTTTCATGTATAATTAAATAACTATAATTCCAAGCTATTATTGCAAAAATGTCTTTGTAAAACCGTTTTATTTATAAGTGTGAAAATGCATAATGCATAATATTTTAAAATAATGTAAAAATAAATATTAAATAATACATGCAAGTATAATTAATTTAAAATTAGAAAATGCTACAACTGAGAAAGCAGAAAGGGCTCTTGTAGATTAGAGCTGTCGAACATTCATGAACCAGAAGATCAATGTTCTATTTACTGTAGGTTTTTTTATTTAGTTATTTATTTAAATTAGTGCAGAGTAGTTAGCTAGCACCTGGAAAGAGCTATTTCGAGCTTAATCTTCCTACACACTATTTTGCAGGATTACAGGATAAAGTCAAAAGTGCTTGAACATATTTAAACGTTAGATTCAGATTTTTATTCTTGCAAAGCCAAACTCGCATAATAAAATCAATTGTCCATGTACAAATCAAGATACTTGCTCTCCTGCTTAAGATGCAAATGAAAATCATTCTTTTTCTGATATCTTAATTAAAAAAACTTTTTTTTTTTAATTTATGTAGTAAGTTTTTCCCCATTAACATATTTCTTTACCCTGGGCTCTGCTTTTCAGACTCAAGCTTTGATTGATGAGCATCTAGAGTATTGTGCCTCGTGGGGAAACCTGCTGCCATAGAGCTTCCAGAGTTCCTGTGTTTGACTAACAATGTGTCGTGACACCTGGAAGCATTCTGATTCTGGTGAAAAAAAGCTAAAAACGCAGCGCTCACACATCACCTGCCAACATCTTCACTTAAACATTAGCGGTCCCCGATCTGCTGCAGAGCACGCTCACATTTCCTGTTCTTCATAGTTAGATGCATGCATGTACAGATATACATAGGCCTATCTGAATATTTATAGAAAACCCTATTGCAAAAACATGTCATGGCTCCCTACATGTCAAACTAGGTGGAAAAGATAATTGTGGTGAAATTTATATTCTATGTGATGCTGTTTAGGGCCAAGCACTCAGAATTGAAATTGAAATTATGCAAAGAAAACATGTCCACTGCCCCTTATGTATAAAACATGCCATTTCCATACTTTTAATTGAAGGCATAAAGGTCATACATCCCAATAGGACCCGACACTTTTTCTGGTAAAAGGTGTTGGTGTACCTAGTAGTCAGGATGAATGCAAAGCATCTCAGCGAAGATGGTGCAGGTTGACCCAATAAATAGCACATGTATGAATTCTGGGTTCAGTACAAGCTCAGTCAACAGCATTTGTGGCAAACCGTAAACATTACAATACTCATTTCAAGATTATACACCACTGTTCAAAAGTTTGGGATTGGTGTAGTTAAAAAATTTATTTAATTTTAAAGAAGTCACTTAGGCTCACCAGGGCTGCATTTATTTGATCAAACATACAGTAAAAGCAGTAATATTGTGAAATATTATTCATTTAAAAAAAAAAACTGTGATGTGTACTATGATGCGTATTCATTGTAATATTTTTGTGGAAATGCATTTTTTCAGGATACTTTGATGAATAGAAAGGTCAAAAGAATAGAGCTTATGTGTCTTTTGTAATTTTATAAATGTCTTTACTGTCAATTTTGATCAATCCTTACGGAATAAATTAATCAATAACACAGGAACAATTGAGAACAAACTACTATTAACTAACAAAAAATTCTGATTAACAAATTAGTAAGTAATAGCGCTTAATTGAATGAGGTAGTTCACTATTAGCTAATCAATTTTTTTCATACCCCCAGAGGACTAACTCTTTCCCCGCCAGCGCTTTTGAAAAAAAGTTTGTTTTTTGCGCACAAAAAGTATTCTCGTCGCTAGATAAACTTAAGATTGAGCCACTGTAGTCACTCGGATTATTTTAACGATGTCTTTTATAACTTTTGGGCCGGCAAGTTTAGATCCTTTTAGAAGCCTTGGAGGAGTGATCCAGCTCTCAGATTTAATCAAAAATATCGTAATTTGTGTTCCGAAGATGAACGAAAGTCTTACGGGGTTGGGACAACATGAGGGTGAGTAATTACTGACAGAATTTTCATTTTTGGGTGAACTAACCCTTTAAACCGTAAATTAAAGGGTTACAAGTAGTTCTTAGTAGTTCTCTGGGAGGAATGAAAAAATAGTAGTTACTGATTATCTAATAGTGAACTACCTAATTCAACTAAGCGCTAGTTTGTATTGTGAGTGTCTAACATACTCGGAATGTATTGTTAGTTAATAGCAGTTAGTAGAATATTGATATTGAGTTACTCATTTGTTCCTGTATAGTTATTCATTAATGATGGAACAGTATTCTAAAGTGTTACCTTAATTTCTTTAAAAATAAATCTTACTGACCCCAAGCTTTTGAAATCTGAAACACGGCCAACATATTGTGAGAATTGTGCAAAGACTAATAAATGTGAGTTTCAGATGTTAAAGGGGATTTAATTTATATAAACTAAAGAACAGAATGCAGTGCTTTTGTTGTGGCTTGTATCTCTGTAAAACAGTGTCATCATTAGCATATACTTCATGTGAGACGGCAGAAAACAACAGCGGATTATCTCCACACCAGCAGATCCAACGGGCTGCACGCTAATGAGGCCAACCCGAGGGTATTGCCATGCTCCAAATGTTGGCCCAACGTTTTCTCTACTTTTGCTTGGTTCTGTGTAATTGGTGAAAGTCAGAATAACAAAATTATTTGGGTCCCAGGTCAATATATTTTAGGAAGGAGACTGAGACCGTCAGGCTAATTGAAAAAATGCTCAGACAACACAAAATGTGTTGCCACCTATTGCCAGTACTGACCGAATGCTCACACAAAATCAAACGCACACAACAGTATAAAATGCTTTTGACAAATACAAGTTGACAATAACAAAATACAATTTTGATTTGACGGCAGAGAAAGGGAGTACAATTAATTACTTGAGGTCTACCTTGGATAAACTTGATAATTCAATCTTACAGTATAACATAGAAATAAAACAATATATTGACTTCGTATCACACAATGTGATTGTGAATTTTTTTTCATAAATTACAATGGAAGACAATGAGGTCCAATGCTGTTTTGAACCACACTTTCAATGTATACAAATACAGTTGAAACATTGTTCAACATATATTTTGTTTTTGTTCTGCAGAAGAACAAAAGTCATCCCGTTTTGGAACAACATGGGGGTGAGTAAATGGTAACAGAATTTAAATTTTTGGGTGAACTGGTTTTTTAATCGCATAAATAGGCTAACGAAAGTGTTCCCTCAAAGTGTTCACATGTGTTGTCTTTGTTTCATGTCTCTATGTTTGTGTTGTGCTTGAACATGTGGCTCTCTCTTTATTTGTGTTGGCCATGTGCTCCTCTGTTCCTGCCTCCTTGTTTCCTTGTACCACGCCCTCTTGTCTAATTGAGTCCTTGTTTGTCTGATTGTTGTCACCTGTTCCTCATGTTCTCTGCTCCCTTGTTGAGTCCTCGTTTGCCTGAGTGTGTTCACCCGTTTCTTGTCTGAATGTGCTCACCTGTTCCTCTTGTTCTCAGCTCCCCATAGACATAATATAGAGCTAGACGTCCTATTGGTCGCTGGGCGCAAGAAATGTCGGCCGCCATATTTAACCAGTCATACTCCTAATTGCGTTGCATATCAGCAGTTAAGATGCCAGAGCACTGTGCAGCATATTCCTGGTCAAATCGGCGGACCATCGCAAATTGGGCTCATGGGATTACTTTTCACAAGTAAGATTTAACATTACTGTACTATTGGTTGTATTTTGTGTATTTGTACCATGTATCCTGTATCATAGCTAGTGGTGGGCAGATCAAGGCTTCGTGAAACAATGAAACAGTTGAAGCAAATGTGCCATATTGTGTCAAGGCTCCGAAACAATCCGACACCCGTCTCAACGGTGACACCTAGTGGTCACTTGCAGGTGTTGATCTGAAACAACCTTGACAACGAGCCATTAAAAAATGTGTAATTTTAATTATTGTATTTTTCCTAATATGTGAAGATTGTAACCTGTAGGCTCCTCACTGTGCATAATGTTATTTTGGTCATGAAAAATTTATATAAATAAAAGAAGTCAAGCCACAATGTCTCACTTTTTTATAGATTTTTATTAAAAAATATGAATTTCTCTGCTGTTGAAGGACTTTGCCTACTTTTTTTTTTTTACAGATAATTACAGCCTTTGAAAAAATCCTTTCACAAGGGACACTTGTTGCTGGCATGAAAATATATTTTTAATCCATAAATCTAT